CTAGTCGTGTGTACTTGAAACTTGTTTTATAGTCACCTAAAACTGAAATATCAGGATATCAGTAATCAGTCGGCATTTTCATTGATACCACATGGGACAGATGCACTTTAGACTAGCAGTTTAATATAGTTCTTTACCGTTATATTATTTGCACAGTTGTAGGTTTTAATAGGCCAATTGTACGATGACGTCATTTTACTACTACGACCAGAATCCTTTATTTTTTCCTTTCGTATTTTAATTTGGTAATCCCAGTGAGGTTTGAATAACAAAGGCCCTAATTTGCACAAGAAAGCAAAGTCCTGACGGATTCTGGTCGTAGTAGTAAAATGACGTCATCATGCAAATGGCTATTCTTTTGGCGGATTGGTCTCTATTCTAATACTGAAGTCGAATAAATTCCCTGTTCAGTCGCCAGGTAAACTCACTAATCAATGTAGTTTACTCGTCTTTTTGATAGACGAAGAATTTTTATTTCAAATCCCAGGCTTATTCGCGTTCTCGACGTTCTTCTTACCGTCAAGTTTTCTGATTTCTCTTGTCGACACCTTTTACATACAAGAAGTAAAGCCGGAGAGAAAAAAGAAAGACAAATAGGGAAATTAAAATACGTAATTGTTTGGTGCCTGGTCAAAGCAAATTAAAGAGTCCCTTGATCTCTGTTTTGTACAAAACAGAATTTCCAAGTTTGATTTAGGTTTACATGACCTCATTTAATTATACATCTTTCCAGAGAATATGTTTCACACCTGACCTAAATTGTACCAATAAAAATTAACTTCTTCAAATAAATTTATCGTTTTGTGTATCTAAACTGGTGTCTATAGTAGTAAGTGTCAAAGCAATGATGTGGAACTTAATTGTAATGCTGAATCCTTTCTTGCGTAAGGTTATGCGTAAGGTTAACTGACCCTGACCCTAACCCTCGAAGGTTAACTGCCCCGAACAGATCAAGGCGCAGGCGTATTATTCTATAGTTAGACCCCACTTGGAGTATGCATGCTCGGTGTGGGACCCACATACACAAAAGAACATTCAATCAATTGAGAAAGTCCAGCGTAGAGCGGCTCTTTTTGTTGTTAAGAAGTGCAATCAGCGCACACCGGGTACCATCACAAGTTTACTAGAGGAGCTAAAATGACCATCATTGGAACAGAGAAGGAAACAAACAAGATTAACAAACTTGTATAAGATCGTAAATGGCACCCTGGCAGTAGAAATTCCAAATTACTTCAGGCAGAAGGAACGCCAAACAAGAAATTACCAGCCACTTAAATTTATAAATGCTGGTTGGAGGACTAATATATATAAATATAGTTTTTTCCCAGATCCGTTAAAGAATGGAACGATCTTCCGAAACAATTATTGAAGCTGCCAACACAGAGGCCTTCAAGCTTGTCTTGAGGGCCCAGGCCTGGCCCCATTGAGCATTATAACATAGCTAGAAAATTCGCCTAATCAAATTCAATAGCGCGAGCTGATGACGTCAATAAACTATTCGTAATTCCTCGAGTTGTTGTGAGCTCAGCAATCCTGAGTCTCCTGAGTGCATCCGGGGTGCATCCATAACTCAGCAATAGACAATGAAGCGTTTACCATGTGTTTTGTAAAGAAATTTAAGAGGAAACGTTTGAATTTGTTAACCGATAGTAAGGAAAAGAGGTGCGTGTTGTTGTTGTTGTTGTTGTCATCTCCGCGAGCTGTGCGGACTATGGCGTGAGCTCATTCTTTGCAAAGTTGTTTTCTCTCAATAACAATTTTTCGGTAAATTAATAGTTTTCCGGCACCTAAATATGGATTTTACAATCANAATTATACATCTTTCCAGAGAATATGTTTCACACCTGACCTAAATTGTACCAATAAAAATTAACTTCTTCAAATAAATTTATCGTTTTGTGTATCTAAACTGGTGTCTATAGTAGTAAGTGTCAAAGCAATGATGTGGAACTTAATTGTAATGCTGAATCCTTTCTTGCGTAAGGTTATGCGTAAGGTTAACTGACCCTGACCCTAACCCTCGAAGGTTAACTGCCCCGAACAGATCAAGGCGCAGGCGTATTATTCTATAGTTAGACCCCACTTGGAGTATGCATGCTCGGTGTGGGACCCACATACACAAAAGAACATTCAATCAATTGAGAAAGTCCAGCGTAGAGCGGCTCTTTTTGTTGTTAAGAAGTGCAATCAGCGCACACCGGGTACCATCACAAGTTTACTAGAGGAGCTAAAATGACCATCATTGGAACAGAGAAGGAAACAAACAAGATTAACAAACTTGTATAAGATCGTAAATGGCACCCTGGCAGTAGAAATTCCAAATTACTTCAGGCAGAAGGAACGCCAAACAAGAAATTACCAGCCACTTAAATTTATAAATGCTGGTTGGAGGACTAATATATATAAATATAGTTTTTTCCCAGATCCGTTAAAGAATGGAACGATCTTCCGAAACAATTATTGAAGCTGCCAACACAGAGGCCTTCAAGCTTGTCTTGAGGGCCCAGGCCTGGCCCCATTGAGCATTATAACATAGCTAGAAAATTCGCCTAATCAAATTCAATAGCGCGAGCTGATGACGTCAATAAACTATTCGTAATTCCTCGAGTTGTTGTGAGCTCAGCAATCCTGAGTCTCCTGAGTGCATCCGGGGTGCATCCATAACTCAGCAATAGACAATGAAGCGTTTACCATGTGTTTTGTAAAGAAATTTAAGAGGAAACGTTTGAATTTGTTAACCGATAGTAAGGAAAAGAGGTGCGTGTTGTTGTTGTTGTTGTTGTCATCTCCGCGAGCTGTGCGGACTATGGCGTGAGCTCATTCTTTGCAAAGTTGTTTTCTCTCAATAACAATTTTTCGGTAAATTAATAGTTTTCCGGCACCTAAATATGGATTTTACAATCATTTTAGAGTACACTTTCTCTCAGTTTCAGGATAAAAACATAAGATTAACTGTGAGGAAAAAAGATATATTCACGTAAACATTGACGCGTACTGCTTTGAGCGCGCCCTTCAATAATAAAATTTTCAGTTAACTGCTGCATTGATCGCTTTGATAATGTTATAAAACAATTAGTTCCTGCTGCAGCTGTGCGTATGTCGAGATATTGAGCACTTGGGAAGTTTGGAGAGCACTCAAGAGGCTAGAGTTGCACTCGGCTTCGCCTCGTGCAACTCTTACGCCTCTTTCGTGCTCTCCAAATTTCCCGCGTGCTCAATATCTCGACATACGCACGCTGACGCATGAACTAATTGTTAATTTGAACATTTTTTATTTTTATATCACCAACAGAAATTCACTGCCAGCACACCATTTTTTAGGGTCTTTTAGCGCACATAGCACGAGCACAGCACATATCTGCTGAAGATGGACTGTACTGCCCTTTGCAGATCAGACATTTATTTAGATTAAGTTATTAAACACTGGCTTACAAATGTCGTTCCGCAGTGTAGCGGTGTCCTGATTAGCTGATCGAAATGTTGGTTAATAAGTTTTTTTTTTACACAAAAGGGAAAATTGAGCTAAATTGTCAACTTAGATAAAACAAAGAAATAAAAAGGATTCCTCATGAGACAATATAGAAAGATTCTGATAGGGTTGTCTATTGATACCACCTGGGCCCAGTTGTTCGAAAGCCGATTAGCGCTTAACCCGGATTTCTTTTTCTTGTGTTCCAAAGCATTTTCTCGGATAATTTTCTCTGCTATTTGTAGAGCTTCCAATCATCAACTTGTAGACAAAAAGAATTAAAACTGAAATGCTTTTTGAACTTTCAAATCTGAATTCAAATCTCGCACTAACCCTGGGTTATAGCAAGCGTAGCTAATTTCAGAAAGCGATGCAAGCGCGTAGGCAACATAACAAGGGCAAGAACTGTAGCAAGCAAACGTGGCAGGAGAAGCAAGTATAGCAAATAGTATAGCAAGTGTATCATATCAAACGTATAGCAAACGTAACAAGCGTAGCAAGCGTAGAAAGCGTAGCAAGAGTAACAAGTGTAGCAACTGAAGCACCGCTTGGCGTAATGCTACCAGAAAGACACGCTTCATGCACCTTTACGCATCTTTCCGAATTTGTAAAGGTTAACTTTACGGAAGTTTATGTTGACGCGTAAGTCATGGTAAGTGTCCAACTTTACGGAGCTTTATTGTTCAGTAAAGCCAGGTAAAGAAATGATTTATATTGACTTACGCGGTGTAAAGATTCTCTTTATGAAGCTTTACGGTAAGCCTTAATATTAGCTGTACTCTCCGCCGTAAAGCTGAGTTGAAAGTCACGTGTACGGACGTGAGTTTGGCTTCTTTACAGTTAATTATTGAACTCGAAAAGTTGAATTCTATTTGGACTTACGCTCTATGGTATCTTTTTTTTACAGCTGTTGTATGCTTTCCCCAAAAAGAAATCGCCAAACAATTTTCTTCCCGTCAAAGAACTTTTTCTTCTTTACGTGATAGTTGCATGCCTTTATTTTGTTCAGCAAAAAAAGTTGATAAAATGGAAATATAAATCCAATACCGATGCTTGGCGAGAAAGAGTAAGCCACCTTTAACCAGTTCTCCTTCTTAAAATATCCCAACAAGCACGTCTTTTGAGCCCACAATACAAAGTGACTTCCCATTGTTAAGCCGGTGTAGCAAACAAACTTGCTTTGCAAACGCAGGATGCAGCAAGCAAAGCAAACGTAGCAAGTGTACCAAACGAAGCAAGTGTCAACCTCGTCCCCAGGGCGCTGTTTTCCTGGCTTTAGAGGTGGGGACCTCCAAAGCCAAGGAAAAGTGCCATGGGGACGAGGTTGAGCAAGCGTAGCAATTGCAGCAGTTGTAGCAAGAAGTATAGCAAGTGTAGCAAGCGTAGAAAGCGTATATGTAATATTGGTGAACACACTGGTAATTCGTTAGTTTTACGTTTTTAGTCGTAAGTCCATGCTCTCTGTAAGACTTGTTAATGTTTGCGGCACTACATTACCCTCCTAACGTTCTTAGTGCCAAGCAGTGGTGGTTTACATAAAATACTCATACATGAGGTAAGACGTTACTGTTAAAGCAAGCAATGGATACCAGGGGTTTTTCTCCCGCTGCTTCCGGCGTTTAAATCACGGATCTACGTTTATATCACAGGTCCGCATTTCTCGAAATTCCCGAAAGACTATTTTACGTGAACTTTGTTCATGAAATGAAGTCGGATTTCTAGTATTTTTTGACTATTTTTAGGAAAGCGCCGGCTGTAAAATAGAGAAATGAATTGGAAAGGTTTGTCTGAAAAGCTAATCCCAAGTGCTAGAAAACAAACTTGAAAAATTATGTTTAGGCATGTAACGTTTCTCGCAGTTTTGAGAGACGCACACCAGGTAAAGCAAATCCTGTGGTTTTCATGGTCTCATTCCGTTGCTGCGACTTCACCTATTAAACGTCAGAAGCTCTGGAAATGCGCTGGTGTCCGGTTAATAGAGATTTGGCTGTATCTTTGTCTACCTGTTATAAGTAATTCAGCTTCCAGCAAATATGAAAGCACACAAACCAGCTTCAGTCTTTGCATGATTAAAATGGACAACCTTCCCCAGTTCCCTAGCCTGCGTAGCAAGCGGTTCCGCGCGAGTTCGTCGAGAAAACTGGAACGAGAGCAAAAAAACTCCAAATTTCGCGCTGTAACTCGACTGGAAACGCTTGCTACGCAGGCTACCAGTTCCCGAATATTTTTTGTCACATGACATATTTTACATATATTCCTTGAAAAACAGTACGTTTCCCGGCTGTATGCCCTTTTGAGGTTCCTAGTTAATTAATTCCTAAGGGGTACAAAGGAAGTTTAAATAAAGGGACGACGTTCCTTCCCCTAAACTGACCTATACCCTAAAAGATCTATTAAACCCCTGGGGCCGTGTATTAATTTATTTTAAGTTTTGAGAGGGACCTCTTCTATATCCGGTATCAATAATAGGGAGGGGTTAAAAAAGATTTGCGTCTTGGTAAATGAATTTGCCAAAGTATATACATTACGATATCGTCCCCGATGTCAATAGGGAGGCATTGACAATCATTGCAAAATGAATTTGAACTTAAGCAACAACGACGGCGAATTTTTCTGGAGTTGAATTTTTAAAGACTGTATCAAAGTTCAGGAAAAGAAATTGAAAGTCGTTGTCTTCGTTCACGCCCTCGACAAAACGTGAAATTAAGCACTTTCACGTTGTAGTAGTGCAGCGACGGCAAGGAAATGTAGAAAAAAGCAAGATACACATGTAAAGCCTTGTTGTTTTGCCAATCTAAACCAAGAGAGATTGATCTAGCTCATTCTCTCTTGTCTAAGCCTATTGTTTTGTTGCCGTTCTCGTTGTCGTCGCCGTCGTCGTTGGTCAAGCTCCCTTACGTCGATATTATAAAAAGTGGTCCTAAACTTCCATAGAGAGCTGAGATTTATGCCCTTCTGCCTGATCTTGCCTGGGATAAAACGTTGTCAGCAAAAACAATTAATTAAAAAAAAACCTTCAAAGGCGTTACCCCTATTATGTGTGTGACTGAACTAGATATGGCGCGTGCTTAGTAGGGTTGGTAGTAGTATAAGGTAGGGTAGGGTAGGGTTGGCTGGAGACCATTAGTAAGGGTTTATAATCAGAAACTGCGCTTTTATTGGATTGTTCGCACTGGTGACTTATTTAACTTGAAGTTTACTCTGATGACCAAACGAATGTTTTAAACTTGAAGGAATTCTGCTACCTCATACAGAAACGTCCTTTAGGCTATTTTTCTGCTAAAATTCCCTTTATACTTTCCTCTTAGATATAACATTTAGTGTACATTTATGTGGAGAAGGTAGATAGGCGGCAATTTTATTTTGAGCCACTTTTGACGGAAAAAACGTGTAAATCCCTATGGCATAGCTCGTCTGACATTTGATGTCAGAGAGAATTTATCATTCAGGTATTGCATGTAACAAGAAAGAGTCAAAGCAAAATTCTAACCCATAATTTAGCCTGATGTGTTAGTCGCTTTCTCGCGCGACGCATTACGCTAGTTAACCTTAAAATCCAGTCCCAATGTCGACAGAAACGAGAATCCCGTTTGCTACTAAACCGACTTGAAAAATGCTTCTCGGGCCCTAAATGTGCGTAATGTGCGTTGCTTTGCATGACTACGATGCCGTTTTGTACGGGTAAACTGACAGGGATGAATAACGTACTGCGCATGTCCGTGAGATCATGCACCTATCATCTGATAAACTCACGAAGGAGAAATTCCGACAATTAGAAGTGCAAGCCTTGTTAAGGAATTTTAAGTAAACCAGGGATCAAAGAAAACGCTTTTGACCCTCTCGGCGAGGCTTTTCATTGTTTTGATCGTAAGTTTTATCAGAAAGATGACCGAGAGAAAAAGAGCATTGCTGGAGGTTTGGCGACTTTTCTTCAATGGCACGTAAACGGTTTACTTTAATATTATATTACCTTATTACGTTTGAAGAAGAACAAATCTTTGTAATATAGCCGAGCGATGACTCTTGTGGGTCGTTATTGCACAGGCAATCGGCCAGAAAAAAGTTCTTGCGGGCCAGAAAACCCCCACCACACCCCCCATCACTTTTCTAATGGTACCTCCCTAACTGACCAAGTAACTCCCAGCAGCTCACCACTCAAAACATAAACGGGATTAAAATTTTGCAATTTAAATACAATAATAAGTCAATCCATTACACGGATCGATAAACTTCAAAGCTCTATGTTCTCTTGAGTTTTCTATAAGTTTTGACTGAATTAAAAAGATTTCGTCAGTCTTTACTTCTCAATTTTGTCACACAAGAAGTTTCTAAAGTAGTCAGCATATTCTTTAGGAATAAGATCCTCTCCTTCAAGTATCTCATTGAGATAAATTTGGCTCGGTTTTAGCCCCTCTTTAACATACTCTTCACACGCTTGATACGCTGTCGCATCCACGATTTCGCCGCTTTTTCTTTCCACCTGTACGTTCACTCTCCGAAGCCTCCCTGCTTCGTGTTCATCTAACTTGGCTAAACTTCCTTTTAAACAGATGTACAAGGCACTATAAACGGTCGACTCCTTATCTGGGATAATATTAGCATAACCAAAGCCATCGTCTTTCCATATGCTAAATACGACGCGAAATCCTCGAAGTACTGCGCTTTCGCGAGAGATGAACCTAGTGCCGCGTTCCCGCATTTTTCTTGCGCTCAGATTTGACCCAAAAGCAAAGTAAAGCTCTGTTTCTTCCATAGGTGTATAGTGTCCTTCACTGTTTTAAACCAAGTTGTGGTCGCTGATCGAACTGAGTTACGCTTGATCACCTTAGTGTGCGATGATGCTCACAGTTGCATCTCATTAGCTCATTACTATCCCAGGCACTTAAAAGTATGGAGTGGCGTGAAGGAGAGTGTAGCCTGTGTAGCTGGCGGAATTGTTGCCCCTGGGGTACTTTCTTGGCGAAAAGCCGCCACTCGAAGCGAGCGGCGAAACCGCGAGGGAGAAAGGTGAAAATCCCTCCTTGACTTGCTCCCAATCTTCACGTGGCTCGGCCGCAAAAAAAGTACAGCATCTGCCGCTAAATCGCCAGCTACGCAAGCTAAGGAGAGTGTGAGTCTGCCTTTCCCTTCTTCGCGCCGATCCCTTCCCTTTCTTCTCTCCATAAGTCACCACTTTATCAATCCAGCGTCCCATGTAAGGTAATCATCCTAGAATACGAGCAGTCTCTCGTTTTTCTAAGTCTGTCGAGCAAAACGTGCGAGACACGGAAATGACCACGCGCGTGACTGAAGGCGCGAGACAGGATAGGCGCGTTTCCCGCCTCGCCTCTCTCGAAATTTTTGCTTTTGGAATCGCTCCGGAGTCTTGAGCTTTGGAATCCCTAATTTAGCTTTAATAAAAATCCGGAATTCTGCTATTAATAATTCCACTGACAGGGGATCCGGATTCCAGTACCTGGAATCTGAAATCTACAGCGTAGAATCCAGTCCAGTCCTGAGTATCCAGGACTGTCTTGAATCACCTTACAGTATAGGGTGATATGGGCTTTGTAATTAAGAACAGACTTACATGTAATCGATCTTTGAGACCTTTCGTTAAAACTTTTTCTCGACTAATTTCAAATAAAGAATGACCGAGTTACTTCTCCCCAAAATAAATCATTCTCTCAAAGGCTTTAAGGCGAAAGTAACATGAGCAAATTAATATGCGGATGGCTGGTTCCCTTTAGTTAAAACTATTTTTAAAAAAAATGTTTAAATGATAAGAAAGGAAATAAATAAAAAGAAACAGAACAAAGGGAAAGAAATAGAAGTAGATAAATTAGATGATTAAAATGAAAGAAATAAGAGAAATACATCCGTATTCAAGAAATGGGAAGAGAGACCCTGATTGGTTGTCGGGCCGGGGTTCAACCTGTCACAGCTCGCTCAGCTGAAGATAACCCAGCGTTAGTATAGTATAGTTAGTATAGTGCAAAATTGGAATTCAAATATGAAAGCCAAAAGGTAAATTCAATTTGATTTTTTGTATACCTTTTGATGATTGGATTTGATTACAGTCAACTGAAAAAATGCTTTTCAACTAAAGAAAAACAATCCCAGATTTCATGACGATATCTCAAGGAATTACGTCGTGCACAAGACTCTTTGCAGATGATATGAAGGTGTCTTGGGTACTGAGGGACACCAAGGAAGACGTTGAAGAACTCGGCAGAAAGATCTTACTCGTTTGGAATATTGGGACAATTGATATTTAAAGGGACAGTGTCCCGATTATGCGCACGCGCGAGCGTCACCTGGTTTTTCTTCAAAAGACAATAGAACTGTCATATTGACTCGACAAGATTTCCTTCCGGACCGCACCGCCGACAGAGATTTGTTGTTTATATTCTCAAGTAATATTTTAGACTTTCAAAGAAGTCTTTCGTCTTACATAAAAATTTGGCTCGCGGTTCGAAGACTTATCGCGATTTTATCGCTAGCTGGGCCGCCTCGCGACCCGAAAATCTCGTTCCGCCCGCTTTAAAAACATATTTTCTAATTTGAAACTCGTGTCAGAGGTCAGTTGTTCCAAGTCTAGTGATATCTGCCTGATTTGCTCGCGTTCTAGCCTCAAACGTTTGAAAGACATAAATAAAAATGCAATCTCAACGCTATGAATCATCAGAAAGGTTAGTCAAAAATTATATTATGATTTCATGGCACTAGTTTTTCTAAACATGTAGCGCCTGTTTGTTTGATTTTGTCGGCCGTTAGTTTACTAACGCGTCGTTGCAAAACATTCTGCTTCACGAAGCTCCCCTCCACAAGATCTCCTCAGTCACATCAATGTCTCAATGGTTTCTTTCTTACAGTCTTTATTGTTGCCGTTTCATTTCTGTGTATTCCTTTCACAATTATCTGAGCTTGTATGGAAGCTAGCAGAAGAAATAAGCCTTCAATCGGCATCAAAGTGCTTCCAATCTTTTGGTCCTCCGGCCAACGGCAATAAAAGTAACGCCAAAAAATCCAGATTTTGCCCAGATCGAAACTTAACAGGAACAATATATCATTGATCTATAATCCTGAGGAGTTTTAGTGTCGTATTGAATCCGGTCAAGCGCGATGCAAACGGATTTTTCAAGATTCTCTTACTCTCCTCGCATCTTTTGATTTCGCGACATCCTGTCCAAAAATCAAAGTTTCGTGCATGCGCAGTAACGGGATACTGTTCCTTTAACACTGATAAATGCGAAGTGATGCGTATTTCTAAAAAGACAAACACCGTCATCGCAAGCTGAGGAACCTGAATTGATGTGATTGGAAATCATGCATTGCGCGCTCCATCTGCAGATTAGTCAGGTATCCGCTAGCAGATTACTAACTAATCTGTAGGTTCTGTAGACTAGGTTGCGCTGATTTCCAAAACTATCTATAGGCTCTTAGCCAATGAGAAGACAGATAGTGAGTACAATGTAAAATAAACAGGGTTATCGGTACGTGGGGAAAAAAGTTCATCCTGGAGTAGGCCTGGGGAACAGTTTCGAAGGCTCAATCAAGAGACAAGCTGTACAGCGGTCATAAGCTAAAGCACTGGAAAATTCAAGATGGAGGACGGTAAGCATGCTTTTCCCACTGACTTATTGCTTAAATTTATCCTTAATTTGGCGCTATTCAGTTTTAAAAACATGTTTTCTCTATGTTATTAAGTCTTTTTTCATATTTATTTCACGAAAATGAAACGTTTGCAACTCTACGCAGCGTTGATTTTCAGCTTTTTCGTGATTTGGTCTGGTTTGTAGCGCTATGTCGATGAGTTATTCTTCTGATTTCAACTAATCTCACTAGTATTACATATCTAATCTTTGAGGGTTTAATACTCCAATTTATACTTGGGTTCAAGTGCTAGCAGAATTTCTGCCATTACTCTCATAAGTGACCATGAAAAATGTACCTTTTTCTTTTGTAAATATCATTTTTGGTTTACGAATTTTCTCAAATTTCTAACAGTATGAAATGTATTTCTTTTAGTTGTTGATCAGTTGTTTATCTCAGTTTCCATTGAGATCATTAGACCCATTATAAGCCGCTCGTTGTGAATTTCACAGTACTTGACGCCAAACACTTTACTCGTGGCGGATTTTTTTGTTTCTTTGAGGTTTAATAGGTTTACCTAGATTTAATTTGTACTACTCGTCCTTTTGCATTGCTTTTTTCAAAATGATCTGGCATCTGCTTGCTTTGTTAATTTTTTGCTCAGCATATCTTTTTAGTGCTTATGATGTATCTTAAATCTAGCTGTTCTTAGTGCATATTTATAATTTATCCCCTATGTTTTGGTGCTTTTGCTGTACTCTTATCGATATAATACACAATAATTTCTTTGTTAACTTAAAGTTCCTGAGCAGACAAGGAAGTGTATTTCTCAAAAATAATATTAACAAAATGATCTAGACATTTAGTGCACCTGGAAAAAATACATGTAAATCCATGACAAAAAGTTCTCTGTACATCGTACCAAGGTGAAACTAACCTTTTAGTTTTCTATGTTGTTTTGGTAGATCTTGAATTGGAGCATGAGGGAGCAGCTCCAGTATCCACCTCACAGCCAGTTAGGCGAAACATTTCTTTAACAAAGAGCAAGTCAGCAAGCTCATTGTCATCTGGGAAAAGCAAAAAAAAGGAAGCAAAAAGTGCAGAAAAGTCTAGGACAGGATCTCAAGGTAAAGAAGCCAATTTTGTTTCAACGCTGTACAATGTATGTCCGGTTTTAAGCCTTGCTGTCATGTTGTTTCCTTAGACAAGAAACGTTAGTCCACTTCGTCTCTTCACCCAGGTGTATAAATGGGTACCTGAGGAATGCTTTGTGAAGGTTGTTGAGAGACACACACTCTTGAGCATCTCTGTCAATAAGAGCCGGAGACAGTGGATTACCTTTGGCTACTATGCGCATGACCCCTGGATACTTTCATAAGAAAATGGAATATAGAATATAGAACCAATACAGTGCTTGAAAAATCTTGAAGTCCAGCTTGTCCTTGGGGCAAGCAGCTCTCATATTTTGCTTGCTTAGGACCACCTCTTGCTTGTCTTAGTTAATGATTTTATTAGAGGATCAGTTGTCTTGACCCTCATTGGGCAAGTGAGCCTTAAAAGTTACTTGTCCAGCAACAAAATCCACCTGACCAGGACTACTGGATGGGACTTGTTTTGAGTCCTGCAATAGAAATTTATTGCTGTTTATTTCCCCGCCTACTTATTGTACATGTAAACTTGAAATCTGAGCAACAGTCCTGCTTGAGGAAATGAGCAACATTGATAAGTTTTTCATTTTACTGTGAATGTTTTTCTATTGAAAAGAGACAATCAGTATTACAGTGGAACCTTGATATGATAAAACTCTGCTCTGTATAACGAAGACCGGTATAACAAATGATTTTCTTTACCCCAGTCATAGAAAGATGTGAAAAAGAACCTCGATATAACAAAACCTCGTCCATAAAGCGAACACATTTTGCCAGTTGCTTGGCCCTTCGTTAAATCGAGGTTTCACTGTACAGACTTTTCTAGATCCTTCTGGAAAAACCTAACTGGAAAAACGAGTTTTTCAAGAATTTTCACCCTTCAGTTTTCACCCTTTTGTCACTAACTGATCTGTCACAGAGTTCTCTTGTATTTTGGCTCATAAATAAATTTCAAGTTGTTTTTGAAAACTTCCAAAGCTCTTGTAAATTTATTAAGTTGAATGCCAACAAGGGTGTCCTGTGATGAGCTAGTATCCCATCCAGAGAGGTTAGCCATACTCCTATGGTGTAAATACTTCATGCTACAGAAATTAGGTTAAGCTCTGGATGTTTGGGCCTCAAGGTGTAGGTCTGCCTCTACCTGCTTTTGCATAGAGTTACACTGCTCTATTGTATGTCAATTCTTGCCTTCCGTTGTACAGTAATAATTATTTATTGTGTACTGTAGTTGTCAAAATTCTATCCTCATGGTAAAGATTCTTATATTTTTGAAAAGAATTTGTCATTCATGTGTACCAGCTGCCATACAACCATGATTTTTTGTAATGAAATAGAAAAAGAGTTGTGTGTTTGTTTACACAAATCCTAATTGTCAAAATTGTTTGATTATTTAATTCTGCCTGGATTTGTGTAAACGTTTTTCGGGTAGAGGCCATAGAGTATAGCTAGGTTATATTGACAGGTTGTGCAGTTTTTAGATGATAAGATTCAAGTAAAACCGCGTAAACTGCACATGCAACATTTTGCTAGATTGTTAAGTTCAAGTTCAAGTTCAAGTTCAAGTTCATTCATTCACTCTTATTCAATTAGAATACAACGACAATAAGAAAAAAAAAGTAAAAACAGAGCTAACTATACATTGAATTAAACCTAACAAAGGAAAAAGTGTGTAGCAGCCAAAGGAGCCAAGCTTTCGAGTTGGTTACTACCACAGAGCGGTTACATTTTGTTCAGTGTCATATTGTTGTAAAAGTTCTCTTAGTTGCAAGAAGCTCTGGATAGTTATTTTATTCTCATGTGTTTGTCATATCTATAAGGTGACAAGGAAAGTAAAAGGAAACAGAAATCCCCCGGAACAGCTGCAGCAGCTCAAGTGGTTGTCATGAGAGAACTCAAGTGGGATCATCAAGTATGTACTATTAATTTTATGATTTATGCTCATTTAGCCCCAGTCACTTAGCCCCTATTTGAAGGTCGTTTACTGTAAACGACCTAATAAACGTCTACTTCCAAATAAACACCCCCTCAACGCTGTCAAAATTATATTAGATGCCCTCTGTAATAAACGCCCCTGTCTAATAGTTAGACGGCTCCCCATAAGAATTACTCCAAAACACCAGGAATTAGCAAAAGGAGCAAAATCATTCAATTCAGTCAGTTTCTTGCTTGATTAACAAGGGTAAATGCACATCTTGTTCAATGTCAAAAAGTTAAAATTGCGGATAGACTAACGATGGCAACGCAATAACAATGAATGACGATTCCAACATCGATGTTGGGATTTGAAAAAGAGTGATAATATGGATTTCCAGACAGCTTAGACATATCAAATGATGGAGTGGGTATTCCGTTATTTTTAAACTCTCTTGATATTTTTTGGCAAAAGCATGTTAGTTCTGATAAGCTTGTTACAGTTATGAGAATAAATGCCTCTGTTGTTTAAATGCCTCAAACATTTATCTTTTAAACACCCCCACTTAGACCCCTAGAATTAACTAGATGCCTTGGGCATTCAGTGTTCCAGCCAGAATGCGTCATTGCGTGAACCCCGCAAAAGATCGAGAGATGGCCCCCACCAAAAGCGGTCAAGGGCCATTATGACCCTTTCCTTTTTTGATTGCCTGGGTTTAAAATGGTCTCTGTTACTCCAACTACAATAATTTTCCAATTAAACAGAATTTTTAATCTAAAGAACAGCGACTCTGTACCTTTGTACACAACATGAAAATCAATTGATGAATCTTCTTGAGTTTTCCTGATTTACCGTTAGTAGTCTGGAGACCACTTAGCCTCGACTTGCCCTTTGTAGTATCACAGAAGCTCATGAGTATCCATCATGGTGTCTCAAAAGAGGATAAACCTTACAAATGCATCTTCGAGGTCTATCAAAAGTTTTTTCTCAGTAAGTAACTAAAAAGTGGATGGAGGCGAAGCAGTTCAGAAGAAGCGAATGGGAGCAGATCTTGACGGTGAAGTGGAAAATGAGATGAAAAAAATTACTTACTATTTTTATTGCATACATTTTGATTGTACTGTTTGCTTTATTGCTGAAGATTTCCTCTATTGTGTATAAAAAGGGACGCTCCGTGTCAGCTTCAAATAAACTGTTTCTTCTCTTTTGCATATTAGAAAGATACTGGTACATTGGCCCTTAATTTCTTGAAATATCTGGCCCCCAAAAATGGGTTGTAGGGGCCACTTTGACCCTCAAGCAGAATTTCTGGCTGGAACACTGGGCATTTATTAGGTCATATATCGTAGGCCCCAAAATTAAGTCATTAATTTTTTATTATTTTAGCCCCATACATGTAGACGAGATAACTAGTCTTACTAAGCCTCTTACGTTTCTGTTATCATATCAGCTTTGGTACTCAAACAAGACATTTACCGTTAGGTTTCAAAATAGTTTAGCTTATTCTCCTGTCTTCCTCACAGATTTTGCCAAGTGTGATTGACTTTAGTTGCTCAAGTAATCTTGACATTACATGTAACTACTTGCTTAATCACAAGGCACTTTGGAGTTCTGAAAAAGTCGTTCCAAAGGGTTTGTGAGTTCTAGAACCTATAATAACTGGAATTTGGAAATTGAGGTTGTTAGCAGGACTTGAATTAGGGCCACATGGCCAAAAAAAAACTCTCAAAAATTCAAATGATGAAAAAGAGACAAAATTCAAAGTTTTGATAAACGTACTGACGAGCCATGCAGCTACACGAAAGTTGCTGAAAGTTGCTGTATTCCTGGGTCCAGAGTTGTGTTATTAAGATTCAGCTTATAAGTAGGGTTGGGCTAAGTACATTCAATGCTATGTCACTAGAAAAAAAGGTTGCCTTTGGTTGTAAATCTAAATTTACTTAATCTTGTTTAATAAAGACCAGGCACTTTGGAGTTCTTAAAAACTCGTTCGATTGGGTTTGTGAGTTCCAGAACCAATTACATTCAATGCTATGCCACTACATGTAGAAGTGTAAATGACTTTTTTTGTTCATGTAACTTTGACTTTAACTTGCTTAATCAGAAGGCACTTTGGAGTTCTAAACTCACTCCAAAGGGGTTGCGAGTCCTAGAAATGATTATTACATTCAATGCTATGCCATTAGAAGTGTGGTTGACTTTGGTTGTTCATGTTATTTTGACTTTAACTTGCTTAATCACAAGGCACTTCCGAGTTCTTAAAAACTCGTTCTAAAGGGTTTTTGAGTTCTAGAACCAATAATAACTAGAATTTGGAAGTGTGAGGTTGTTAGCAGGACCTGAATTCAAATAATGAAACAGAGACAAAATTCAAAGTTTTGATTAACGTACTGACAAGCCATACGGCTAAGTAGTTGTTGCCTTTCCTGGGTCCAGAGTTATGTTGCCAAGATCCAGCATAAAAAATTATAAGTAGTATCCCACCTCCCCGTTTTTGTCTCGTCACACAACGCTCCTCCCCTTTCCCCTCCCTTTCATGGGGAGTAGTGTTGTGTGACGTGACAAAAACGGTTGCCTGAGAGACTAGTTTACAATATATAACGGGAAAAACATCCAAAGTGGCAATATTTCGAAAAATTGCCCTTCATCAGGGTCTCTGAAGTCATGTAAATTTTACTTTAGGTGTGGGGAAAGTGTTCAGAGGATTGAGTGAGCAGCGCTGGGCAGTGTGTATGTATACCCCCTTGTATAGCAATTCCAAATAATCAAAAATGATGATTTTTTCCTGTCTTGTTGTCTAATGTATTTTAGGTCTCATAATGTTTGGAGGGGAGTTTTTGACAAGTTTTGTCCCAGAAGCTGGGGTTCAGGAACGTATGAAAGAACATGGGAAAGATCCACTATGGAAAATCAAGTATGAACAACATTTTATGAATTTAAGAATTTCCTTTATTAAGAGTCAAAGTGATGTTCACGTATAAATTCATTTGGTTAATAAGACCAAGTATAAAAATAATTTTAGACATAAAGAGTTTGTATTTTCAGGTATGCTTCTAATGGAAGTACACTATTTTCTCCCTGTGACAGAGGAGTTGTTTGCAAGTAAGTCATACTCTGTGGTAATTGACATGCATTAAGTGGTCTCTTGACTAGCCATTAACAATATTAATTTGCAACTATTCTTAAATCAACAGATGTTGATTGACTGTTAAACCTCTAAAAAGTAGCCCCTATTTTGTGGCCACCCTCCTTTTAGCCAGGACTACTAAAATTATCAGTAAATCATTGAAAATAGAACATCTGTAAAATACAACTATCCCCCGAAGGGGAAGTAAATAGTGGTGAGAAAAACCAAGACGCGAAGCGTCAAGGTATATATCTAGCGCTATGAACCGACTCTGAGGGGGATAGTTGTATTAGACTAGTATTTACCAAATCAGTTGGATAAAACTGAAAAAAGTGACTTTTTGTAAATTAAAAACGTTACTTAGTAGGGATTTTGTCAAGTGCTTTTTACGATTTTGTTGCAAATTCCCCTGCTTTTCCCTCCCTCTCTATCCCCTACCCCTTTCGACGCCTGCTATGCAGGCTATTACAGTCCCTCTATATTTCTCGCCTCCTCCCAAACCGCCCCCGCCCCCGCCCCCTAAGTTGTTTTGACACTCATGCAAGATAGCAGCCCGTAAAGCAAAGTGCTCGATCTCGACGATCTTACTGCAAAATAGAGGACTGTGAACAGTCTAGGCCAATCGTGAGGTGCATAAGAAACTCGGAAGAAATCCGCCTATCAGAAACGCTCACATATGTCCTTGCAATTCTGCAGGATATTAGAACGAGTTTTTGTGCACTAATTCGCAGACGGACTATACAAATAGTTTATAAGACGAGTTCGTGAGCCGGCTGCAACACAGGCTGCTTCCCGGCTACCGGGCATATAGCTCGGGCATGTAGCCACAACGTATTATAATTTGACCCCTCATTATCCAGAATTTCAGACGATTGCTTCGAGTCGTTTTTAGTCCCTCAGCTGAAAAAAAGAGTGTAAAATTCAGGCTAACCCCTCATACTGCTTTATTATTTTCCAATTTTTTATGGATGGCTGCATTTCGGGAGCTATTTCTCGAAGCACTAAAGTCACTTTTGTTGGCGTAATTTGATCAAAATGGAACTAAATGCTAAAGGAAGGGAAAAATCCCATAGGTTTAATTTCTTCTTGCTAGAAGATTGATTGTTGCTTATAGGTACGTTTTGTGCAAGTCTGGTTATTATGTGAAGGAAAATGTAATTGACCTTTATACTGACTTGTTTTGCAAAATATGATTTCCTCGTAGACTTTTTCGTCGTGACAAATCAAGCAAACTATCAAGACTGCTCGGGAATTTATAACTGAGGTAGGCATTGCATTAGCTGAAGTTCTACTGGAACTACACGGTTCCATTACCTTAGAACGGCATTTGGTCATTTATCTGGCGGGAACTTTTGTCAAAGTATTCTATCTTCATTTAGAATAACCAAGCGATCAGGAAAACAAAACTCGCTTCGCAGCTGAGCGATTGTGGTTTCTTGGGTATAGAGTACAGTCGACGCTGTCAGACGCTGTTTCGACAATTAGGCCTAGGAATAATTTCGTGAGTTTTTCTTTTTCCCAAATATATTTCGTTTCGCAGAATAGAATAAGCCGGGCGTTACTCACGGGCACGATTTGAAAGAAGTTAAATACCCAGCAGTCTCAAAGCGAACCTAGAAAGTGAAAACGCCTTCTCTTAAGTTCCAGAATACATGCATATTTAATAGCCATTATGCTCAAATTTTCGAGCACAATTATATCTAACCCTAATTTACAGCGTCGAAACTACTCTATGCCCGAGAAACCACAACCACTCATCTGCGAAGCCATTCTTGTTTTCCTGATCGCTTGGTAATTCTAAATGAAGATGGAATACTTTCAGACGATTAGAAAGTACTAGAAAAAGGGATTTTGCAGAAATTCTAGCAAAATTTTCTGACTGCCGGGCATTCATAGTTTTTTAAGACCCTTCCCGGGTGCCGAGCATATAGCCACATTGTCTTAATAACTGTATGTATTTGATTTAATTTGACCACTCTTTAGCCTGAATTTCAGACGATTGCTTCGGGTCGAAGTATTTGATCGTCAAGAAATTCGGGCCAACTCCTTGCTTTTATTCATGGATGGCTTCATTTCGGGAGAAATTTCTGGAAGCACTTACGTCACTTTTGTTGAAACTGAAAGCTAATAAAGGAAGAGAAAAATCCCATAGGTTTAATTTCTTCTTGGTAGAAGGGTTGTTTGTTGCTTATAGGTAGGGTTTGTGCAAGTCCGGTTATTTTGTGAAGGAAAATGCAATTGACTTTTATACTGACTTGTTTTGCAAAATATGATCTCGTCGTAGACATTTTCGTCGTGACAAATCAAGCGAACTATCAAGACTACTCGGGGATTTATAACTGAGGTAAGCATTGCATTAGCTGAAGTTATACTAGAACTCCTCGGTTCCTTTACCTTAGAACGGCGCGCATTTCGTTATTTATCTCGCGGAAACTTTTGTCAAAGCATGTCTCTAAGGCCGTGTTGTATATGACAGGGTTCGCACAGTCTTAAAAAGTCCTTGAATTTTAGGGGAAGTCCTTGAAAAGTCCTTGAATTCCATTTTTCCTTCAAAAGTCCTTAAATTTCTGTGCAAGTCCTTGAAAAGAGCTTGAATTTTCTTCAACTTTGAATGTAGTAGCCTGGAAAGAATTTTTTGATGCTTTTTGGTTGTCCAAGACAATATAAATCGTAGCTCAGTGAATGTAAAGGTCATTTACATAAAGTGCTCCATGTTTTATGCAATAATTAACTATCAGTTTAAGACAAGTGAACTGAAAAATGTAGAGAATTTGGTGAAGCAAAAAGTTAAAGCCTTAAAGTCTTATTAGAATATACTGGGAATATGCATTTTTGTACAATCTGTGAAATTATATTCCTAGTAGGTTGTCCTTGAAAATCTAATGTGGTCCTTGAAAAGTCCTTGAAAAATGGTTGCAATTTTTTGTATGAACCCTGTATGATCTTTCAGTTCGCAGGGGACTTTTTCCCATCCCATCATGTAGGATTTCCTCTCAGCGCTTTCACTGATTTATTATGCATACATGGTTATCATTCCACTCTGTATACAGTTGAACCTGAACTTGAACTTGTTTTGCAAAATATGATTTTCTCGTAGACTTTTTCGTCGTGACAAATCAAGTGAACTATCAAGACAACTCTGGAATTCATAAATGAGGTACATGTAGGCATTGTATTAGCTGAAGTTATACTAGAACTCCATGGTTCATTTACCTTAGAATGGCGTTTGGTCATTTATCTCGTCCAAACTTTCAGTGTCAAAGTTAGAATAACCAAGCGATCAGGAAACAAAACTCGCTTCGCAGCTGAGCGGTTGTGGTTTCTTCGGTATAGAGTAGAGTCGACGCTGTCAGACGCTGTTTCGACAATTAGCCTAGGAATAATTTCAAGAGTCGCAGCGCGTGATAATAAGCACTTTCCGCTTTCCCAATATATTTCGTTTCGTTTCGTTTCGCAGAATAGAATAAACCGGGCGTTACTCACGGGCACGATTTCAAAGAGGCTAAATACCCGCCAGTCTCAAAGCGAACTAGGAAAGTGAAAACACCTTCTGTTAAGCTCCAGAATACATGCATATTAGCCATTATGCTCAAATTCTCGAGCATAATAATTATATCTAACCCTAATTTACAGCGTCGAAACTACTCTATGCCCGAGAAACCACAACCCCTCATCTCCGAAGCCATTCTTGTTTTCCTGATCGCTTGGTAATTCTAAATGAAGATGGAATACTTTCAGACGATTAGAAAATACTAGAAAAAGAGATTTTGCAGAAATTCTAGAAAATTTTCTGACTGTCGGACATTTATAGTTTTTTTTAAGACCGTTCCCGGCTGCCAGGCATATAGGTACAGTGTAGTAATAACTGTATGTATTTGATTTAATTTGACCACAGTCAGCGTGCAAAGTAAGTAGTGTCCGATAGCCCGGGCCTAGTGGATTTTGCTATCGGGCTAGTGAATTCTGTTCTTAACTTGCCCGACGGGCAAGTGATGTTTTTTTGAGGAATTCAAATTGAAGAAGAACTGTGAAATCAATTCTGCTCGTCAAAAAGCTTTTGGGGCTAGTTGAAATGGCGTTTGGGCTAGTAAATGCTAGCTTCAGCTTGCCCGAATGGCAAGCTGCAAAAATGATTTTCTTTGCACCCTGCCACTCTTTAGCCTGAGTTTCAGACGATTGCTTCGAGTCGAAGTAATCGTCAAGAAATTCGGGCTAACCCCTTGCTTTTATTCATGGATGGTTGCATTTCGGGAGCTTTTTCTGGAAGCACTTTCGTCAGTTTTGTTGAAACTGAAAGCTAATAAAGGAAGGGAAAAATCCCATTGGTTAAATTTCTTCTTAGTAGAAGGGTTGATTGTTGCTTTTTGGTACGGTTTGTGCAAGTCCGGTTATTTTGTGAAGGAAAATGCAATTGACTTTTATACTGACTTGTTTTGCAAAATATGATCTCCTCGTAGACATTTTCGTCATGACAAATCAAGCGAACTATCAAGACTACTCGGGGATTTATAACTGAGGTAAGCATTGCATTAGCTGAAGTTATACTAGAACTCCTCGGTTCCTTTACCTTAGAACGGCGCGCATTTCGTTATTTATCTCGCGGAAACTTTTGTCAAAGCATGTCTCTGTTTAATATGGCCGTGTTGTATATAGAAAATACTTCATGGAAAGTGCTGGCGTACGGTGCTTACGCACGAGTTGTTGACGTATCAGAAATCGAACGAGTGAGCGCAGCGAACGAGTAAGATTTCTGATACAAAAACAACGAGTGCGTAAATACCGTACAAAGTACTTTCCATGTGG